AAAATTGGTGCTTAGGATCCAATAACGATCGCTCGCGGGGTGCCCTACGAGCACTCATAGGACACCCATGGGTGTCCTCTTACGTGCGCAGCCCCAAGTGCCGGACCAGTGCTTAAACACCTGTTTCGAGTGCACGAGGTTTCCCATAAAATGGAGTCCTTGCCCCTTTTGTCCCAGAAACTATTCCCGAACCCCTTTGGTCATTTTTGACCCTAATGTCCCTGTTCTAACTCACAACATAGGTTACGAAAAATGAATAAATGCATCAAGTAGTGAATCATAATTGTATCATTAACATTAATTCAACCTAAGACTTTAGAATAAGAACTTGATTATCACTTCCATTAATTTCATGTCCTGACTATACAAGTTATAAGTTTAGACCTTTGTGGTCACAAATGCATCACTTTACAGAGGTCGTGGGGTTGATTAGGCTATCATGACATTGGCATAATCACAAGCATTGGTTGCATTGATAGAGCTGAGACACCTTTGGAAACAGATCGGCTCGAGGGCACAAATAGGCTCGAGGAGGCATCGGAGGCATTGGGAGCAGAGAGGAGACTCATAATTTCGTTACTAAACAATTAAGGTTTCTTAAATTTGGAAAAGTTCTAATTCTTCGTCCATAAAGAGACATGTTGTAGTTTATATAAGGCAATATTTTAATTTATTTTTTATTATGAATTGTTTTACTTTTCATTATGAAATAATAATAATAAAAAAATCTCAATTTGAATTTTAATTTTTATCAACATTTAACCCATTACTTGTTTCATAATGACGAAACATAACCATAATTTATTTTTCATTAAATTTAGAGAGAAATCATCTAAAGTTTATAGATGCTTAAATATTTTTAAAATAAGATAAAAGTTATATAACTTTATTAAAATAAAAATAGTAAGTGTCAAATTATTACTGAGCTCAATGGACGTCACATTCTAATTTATAGAATAGCCAAAATTGAACATGCTTCATAGTTGTAGACATCAGCTTATCAATATATGAAGAAAAATGAAATCATTGTACCACATCCTCACGAATACTGAAACATTAACAACCACTATTATCATGGCATTGTTATAAGATACGTATCCAGGCCTAGCATCAAATATGAAACTAATCGTACTAGACACTTAATACAAAATATATGTGCGTACATTAAATGATAATATTCTTCATTTTACGCTTTTGACCTTGTATAAGCCATCTTATGGCAACTATGACCTAGTTTGACCTAGTTCATGTTTCCTTGAATGCCATCGGTGCCGGAGGGTACTATCTGACCTTTATGACCTTAACTTCCGCATTTGGTTCCATATTGGGTATCGTTACCTCGTTTGAGGATCTTCCTTCGTCCTAGAGGTGGCACTCGTCTTTAGTGACCTTCTCTGTTATTTCACATCCGTATTCGTTTTCTACTCAAGACTTGTGATCTCTTAGGAGGTCATTTTGTTATCTTAGAGGTAGTATCCACCTTTAGAGACTCTTCTCTTTTCTTGCTTCAGCATTTCGGACTCGATATCGGGTCAAGTTCTGGGTTACTCGCTGACACACTGGGTTTTTAGAATTCAGGCCGTCACAAGTGGTATTAGAGTGTCTAGATTCAAATACCTTAGGATGACGGGTTTTGGGTTTACTTTATACTTCTTTTTCAATTACTTTGATGTATTCACATGTTTACGTGCTTATGTGCTTAAGTGTTTAGAAGCATTCCTTAATTACCTTAGCATGATCTATATGTTGTTTACATTATCATGCTTTATGTTTCATCCTTTTTAACATTTATGTATATTTATATGCCTATATGTTTATATGCTTACGTGTTTAAAAGCATTTCTTATGTAACACATGTGTTATTGCATCTCTTATATGACACGTATACCATTGCATCTTGTTATATGTTTTATTTTATACATTCATTAGATAAGTTGCATGTTGTCACGAGTGCTTGGAGGTGATTTATCATCCTTCCTTGCCACTAATCGTGTTTTGGACTTAGACGTTTAATAGGATGTTTGAGAGGTAGGTAGCTTCTTATTTCGAGTTTCATGCATTGTTAGGTGCACATATTTTCCTTGGAAGATGCTAATTGTTATGTTTACGTACTCCTCTACCTCCCCACTCAACTGACCGTGATCGGACGGATGGGACGGTAACTGCTATTTGTCACCTTGTGTTCAGGCTATGCTCTTCCTTTTGTGCTTAGAGGGCACAGACTTGTCAGGCTTTAGATTCATGTTTGTGATTTGTTTGATAGTGGTGTTTTGAGGAGTCCTTGATTTAATTAAAGTGACTTGATTTTGAGATTCTATGATTTTGAGTTGTCAGTTTTCTTCGTATTGAAGATTTAGGGCCTTAAGCGTGACGGTATCGATGGTATTGTTGTCAGAGTTATGGTATGGTCGAAAGATGTCTGGCCAGACCATCTCGGCCAATCCCAAAACTCTGACAACAATACCATCTATACTGTCACGCTGTTACTGTAGTCAGGGACGAATCTAGAAATTCATATGAGGGGAGCAAATTTACATAAAGAGGTTTTTTTTTTATAATTTCAGTGGGGGCAATTTCAAAATTTTATGGGTATAAATACAAAAAAGTATAAATTTGGGGTATAAAATATAATATAAAAAAAATTCAGTGGGGGCGCATGCCCCCACTGAGACCTTCACAGATCCGTGCTTGACTGTAGTGCTTTTGGCAATGATTGTTTCGTGGCATTAATGTCATTTGTATCAAGAGGTTTTATGGGTAAATTTAGTGGGGGCATGATATGAATTAGGGTTATATACTGTCAAGCTATCGTACGAAATTGTGCGCCATGGGCAGGTCTTTTAGAAATAGAGTTTATAATGACTAATTGCTAAGAAAGTATATACAAAATTTGAATCAATAATTATCAGCAAAGACTTAAAAGTATAAAAGATAAATAATACCTGATATTTTGCTGACACTTAAAAATGCCACTAACTGTAACCTTAATAACAGAACACCACCAATGTGACTGTATGTCACTCAACTTCCTCTTTTTCTTTCTCTCCCACCTGTACATTATGAAAAGATCACTCTGAAAAATTTAAATTTCTGAACAAACAAATAACTATAAAAAATACACAAATATATATTCCAAATTTTTTATTATATATATATATATAATAAAAAAATTTGGAATATAGTCAAGAACACACAATCGGTATAATTTCAGATTAAAAAAAAAAAAAAAACATAATGCACGTTTGCAAGTGCCCGAAACACCAACAAAAATAAAACTAAAAAAAAAAAAAAAAAATCCTTGAAACTAGACATTGGGGGGGCATGATCCACATGTATTTGTATATATTACACTTGCAAAATCCTTGAAACTTTATATTATAGGCATACGCATTGTCCTACTGAGTAATTCGATTACTCACCCTAGTTGATTATTGTTGTTCAGGCAAGGAGGGACTCTTCTTGGATGCACACCATCCATAGCTCGGACTTGTGTTTACAATTTGGACCAGTGTAGTTCCATTAGGACCCAAGAAAAAGTACTCAAGTTTATTCGGTGGTGGATTAGGCTCAAGCTTGTGAGAAAACTCATGAGAAGGACAATGTGGAGAACTCGAAATCAAAGGAGGCAGTTTTCTAACTGAAAAGACATTGATTGAATCCTCATCAATAATATTAATAAGGAGAAAAACCCACTAGCTTTAGCTTGTGGGCCATCCTGGTTTTCTGTTGAAAACCGTCATTTAGGACTCCGAAATTGCGTTTTCTTATCTATTAAGAGGCCTGTTGATTATTTCTAAATTTTTGTTTGAGGCCTAAACGAAGTCTGATTGCTTAGTTTTTATCCCACTGGATTTTTCTTAGCAAGATTTTAACAAGCCATATTCTCAGTGTAGTATGATAGACCCCAAGGGGAAGTGTTGTAAAAGTTGAATTGATGTGGGGTCCACATATTTATTACTTTGTTGATGTATGGGAAGTCGTTTGTTGTCTTAATAGATGTACGCCTCGTTGCCTTATTGCAAGTTATTAATAATTACTTCAAATTATACAAGTTTTTAATTTTAAATTTTTTTTCCTCCTGTTACATAAATTATTTTAACGTGACATGCTTTTTTAAAAGGTGCATCCACGAGGTTTAATTCTTTTATTTTGTGTTATTATACAATTTTCGAATGCAAATACTATTTTCGTCTCATAAAACGTGGATTTTTTTTTTTTAGAGAATGAACTTTTAAGGAAAGACATTGAATTTTAAATTAGAATAATTATTTTAGAACAATCCAAAAAATAATAATAATAATAATAATAAATAAATAAATAAAATAGTGGAGGAAGGGAGTACATTTTTTTTTTGGGTGTATACTTCCGCCAACTTGGTCACTTCTTCACCGCCCGGTGATCCGTCCAGTTCGGGTCCTCTGTCCTCCGGTCCACCATCTGGTGATTTGTGTGTTAATTCTGTAGTGTCTTTCAACTGATTCTGATCGAGGCCAAAACAGGATTTTTGCACCTATATATATATATATATATATTTGTCATTTTGAGTCCCAATATTACATTTTTTTTTTTGGGTTAAAGTTTTATTAAAAAAGTGAACGAGGAGGAGAGAAAAAAGAGAAAAAAAAAGAAGAAGTTATTTTAAGATATAAATATTTGGGGCTCAACATTAATTCTTTTTATTAGTTTTTAATAATATTAAAAAATTATTATAATATAACTTATATAATGAAAATTTAAAATTTTAGGACATTTCTATTTTCTATTGACTGTAGCCTTAGGCAACTGCCTAAGTCACTTAAGGCTCCAGCTCGCCGTGCCCATGGCGGCGAAGGCAAATAAAATTGCTGCCACTACTTTAATAAATAACAAATACATCAACTAACAGTTGTGTTTATGTGATAATTAATAAAATAAACAAAAAATAATTTTAAAACTACATAAGTGGTAATATTATAAGGAGATTACTTCATGGGTCTCTTTTCCCGTTAGGGTGGCGATTTAATTGTCTTATGTTTGAATCATTGGTGCATGTTTCTTTTCAACTTCATTAATTTACGTAACAAACCAATACACAAAATTAACCAACTCTCATATACTTGATTCTTAGCAAACCATTATTAGTTAATTATTAAATTTATTTTGTAACCATATACATATATATGTCATGGATCAAGGATAATTCATCTGAAATTGGGCATCCATGTAATGAAGAAAGGGTTGAAGATGGGGCTTTTGGACACACCATGTCATCAAACGGATACCTTTCTTTGGTGAAGGCAGTGACCCAACAATGCCAACTGGTATGATACTTGAGCCTTGTATTGGAACAACGTGGACTGGTGGGCCCCACCCATAGTCAATCTGGTTGAAACCCAGTCGGCCCCACTCTGATATAAACAATGTGGTGTAGAGGAGAGGTGGTGCAAATGGGTCCACAGGAATTTGACCATCTTCATTTTTTAGCTGCTCACCACCCTGCTGCTGCTGCTGCTGCTGCTGCTGCTTTGTCCATTTCCCAAATTCATCTGCTAGCCTAGTCTTGGCTTCTTGGATCAGCTTCACCACATCAACAATGGACGATGACCCTGACCCTGATCCTCCTGTTAGGGTCTGGCTCGAGGCCGAGACGGTGACCGGAAAGAAGCAGTTCCCATAGAAACCTTGGGGCAGAGGTGGGTTCAAAATAAGCTGACGGCAATTCGCAAAGAAGACAAGCTTGAGTAGTTGTGTATTTGGATCATTATCATCAGCATCCAAGTGAATTGCTCGAGTTCGATGGATCCATAACGTGGCAGCCACAATTTCAAAGGACGAGCAAGTTTGACCACCGGTGGAGTCTTGAAATTCTTGCTTGAGCTGTTTGATCTGATCTGCAGTAATGTCTATAATGGCATGCTCAAGCCCGTAATTGGGCAGAGGAGGAGGAGGAGGAGTTGGCAATGCAGTTTTCGGTGGTTGTGGTGGTGGTGGAAGAAAGTCCCTACACCAAGCAGGTGCAATGGTGGGATGGTGAAGACCCCTAGCCAGCTCCCCCACCGCATTCAGAAACTGTGCTGCTCCTAAGCCATCACATATGCTGTGGCAGAATACCAGCCCAATTACAAATCCATCGCACGCAAATTGAGTCACCTGATCAATCATCAAACGTAAAACACAAGCTTATATATAATTATTTTTTCCGGCTACATATGACTACTTTTTCACTTTATAAAGTAAAACATCTATGTTCAAGTCTCTGTAAGGGCATATAAGGTGTATTTGAGTTTGTTACCAGGATTTAATTACGAGGATCTATGGCATATAATAGGGGATTTTTTTTTTTAAGTTGGTACTCACACACAGGTCTCTTGAGACTTGAATTCCAAAGGGAAGTAAGAAACTGACACTGCTAGATTATTGGCTGTTGGTAATAGGAATGGTTATATACCTGCATTTGCACGAGAGCGTCTGTGGCTTGAGTAGTTTCGGTAGGATGATCAGGAAGAAGCATATCATAGGGGATGGATGGTGCATGATCAAAGTAATTAACGGATTCAAGGGTACAATTAGCTGATGCTTCCACGAACCAAACACCTTCTCCAGAACACTCAATCTGAATTAGCTGACCTGATTGGCTCGAAACATTATTCAACCGTCCTGCAAGCGGATAGTAGGGAATCAATGCCTTGGACAAGGCATTTCTTATGACATCATGCACTGCTCCAACACCATGCCGGAACACGTGCAGCGTTCGAGCGTTGCATCTTAGCACTGCTAATCTATCAATCACTGATAGATCAAGCGTGCCTGATGGTGTCACCCCAGATGGTGGAACTAGGCCTCTACTTGATCTCACCACACAAAAATCCATGGTGCCCAATTAATATGTATTAATCTGCTGGGAATTACAAGCATTACAATACCCATATATATATCTCTTTATAGTGCATTAGTTAGAGTATCTATTCGGTTTTAAATTTTTATATACTAGTAGCTTGACTTCGAAGTCAGTTTATACTTTATATAGATATATAGTTTGGTATTGAGCTGCTTCGAAGTCAATTTAGATACTCCATATATATATATAGTTTTTATTATTATTATTTAGGTTAGGTGTTAGGTGTGATAACTTGCTATAAATGTTACATATTAATATATTATACCCGTCATATGAAGCAAGCTAATTTTTGTAAGTTAGCCACACGGTTGCTTGTAATGCAACTTGTACATGTAACAATTATGGAATATTTGTGGTCAAAAACCTGTTAAAAGAAAAAAAAAATAAATAAATAAAATAAAATAAAATAAAATCTGCCCTCTAAAACTTAGAGCAGCTTTATGACATTTTAGGGGAGGAGGAACTCGAATACGGACATTATTTTTTATAGTTATTTGTTTGTTCAGAAATTTAAAATTTTCGGAATGTATAGGTGGGAGAGAAAGAAGAAGAAGAAGAAGAGGAAGTTGAGTGAAATACATTCACTTTGGTGGTGTTCTGCTATTAGGGTTACAGTTGGTGGCATTTTTAAGTGTCAGCGTGGCCCTCAATCATCAGGTACTATTTATCTTTTATACTTTCAAGTCTTAGCTGATAATTATTTATTCAGATTTTGTATATACTTTCTTAGCAATTAGTCATTATAAACTTGAGTCAAGTTTCAGTACTTGGCCTTTCTAATTTTGGATTTTTTAGATGATATTATATGAATTTCATTAACTAATAGCTTAATTTGTTTTTATTTGAAACGTTTGTATAGCGCAGTGGAAGAAGTAGATTGCATATAATGAGTTAAACAAGGGCTACTTCTTGTAAAATAAAAAAGTTATTCCTTTATGGTGAATCCCAATATAATTACAAATTCTTGATTAATGGAAGGTGAATTGGTGGTGGAAGTATTTTGTGGTCCTGTCTTTGTCTGGATAAATTATTTTCTCGGTGCCTTGTTGCAGTAATTGATAATTGCTTCAAATTACACAAATTAATTTATTTTTTATTTTTTGTTTTTGCTCCTATCACATATATTATTTTAATGTGACATGCTTTCTTTAGAAGGTGCATCCGCGAAGTTTAATTCTTTTATTTTGTGTTATTATACAGTTTTGAATGCAAATACTACCTTCATCTTATAAATTTTTTTTTTTTTTTGGAATTTAACTTTTTTTATTTATTAGAAAATAAAATTTTAAATATACCGTTCTATTGTTTTTATAAATTTCAAGGCAAGAAGCCTAGATTAGGAATATTAAAAAAAATTGTACATTAAATTTTAAATTAAAATAATTATTTTGGGGCAGATACTTTTTGTAGGAGTAAGGGAGAACATTTTTTTTTTTTTGGGGAAGAAGTGAATTATATTGGTTGTAAATATTTAATTTAAGTTTTCATATTTGTTTGGAAGGTAGCTAACTAACACTTTTACATTGTCCTTTTAATACAGGTTTTTTCCTTCTTGTGAGTTGAGAAGCTAAATAGATTGATTTGAATCGGAAAAGATGTCACATCCCTTTAATACTAAAAAGAAACACCATTAAAAATGCATGAAGGTAGCTATTACTCTCTGGATAATGAAGAAGATGAGGCGGAGGATAAACAACTACATGCTGGTGTATTAAAGAACAATATAACTATATATATATATATGCATCTTTAATTTTATCATTTTCTTTTTTTACTTCTTCATCTTTTTACTTTAATATTGTCGCTGACAGTCAAATGGATTTCAATAAAACGTCCAAGTTCAAAAAATGTAGAGGGTTCAAATATGGATGGGTTGGAGAAGGAGAAAACCCAATACTATTCAACCACATTGATGGACCAAAAGGATACTATGGGCCAACTCAGGCAAAACTCAACAAATTATAAGGCTAACAGAATAGGGAGTGACCAAACATCATAATGTACGTGTTATGAGAATTTTCTCTCTTCCTATCAAAATTATATAAAACCACACATATATATAATGGATAAAGTGTAAAAAAAACTCTCATGTTATAAGTAAAGAATAAGCCAAAAATATCCCTCGTGTATATAAATTTCTAACATTCGAAAATATATGTAAATTGTCTTTTGGATCAATTTTTTAATTAAAACCGCAAAATACCCTTAATAATTAATGTTTTTATGAAATCAATGTTTTTTTATTTTTACTACCAAAAGAGCACGCGCAAATGCAACTTTTTTGATGCGTGTATATTTATTTATTTTGTTTTTTGGCTCTACAATTTTTGGGAAAGAATGGGTTACTTTTAAATAGTGGAATTTTTTTTAAAAAGTAATTTAATGAGATGTTAATGAGGTATGAATCATATGGGAACTTTATAAAAAATGATACGTTTTTATTTTTTTTTGGCTTTAGAAATTTTGGTAAGAAATAGGTTCCCTTTTAAATAGTTGATTTTTTTAGATTAGGGATCTATAATTTTTAGGAATCAAATAAGGTAATTTAATGAGATATTATTATACTTTTTATAAAGAACAAATGAGAATCTTAATGAGGTTTTTTTTTTTTTAATAAAATAAATGGTACGCTATTTTTTATTTTTATTTTTATTTTTTTATTTTTAGCTCTACAATTTTTGGGAAGGAATAGGTTTCTTTTTAAATAGTGGATTTTTTTTAAAAAAATGTGATTTAATGAGATGTTAATGAGGTATAAATCACAAGGATTTTAATGAGACTTTATTAGATTTTTTATATTTTAAAAAGAATGAAAATTTTTAAGAAATTTGGAAGAGGCTTACTCAGTTAGAATTAGGCTTCTTTTTAAAAAGTGGATTTTTTAAAAAGGTGATTTAAAGAGATGTTAATGAGGTATAAATCATAAAGATTTTAATGAGATTTTATTAGATTTTTATATTTTAAAAAAATGAAAAATATTAAGAAATTAGGGAGGGGACTTGCACTTTTAGAATAGTATATGGAAAAAAAAAATGATAAATGTTAAGAAATTAGGAAGAGGGCTTAAACAATTAGACTTAGGTTTCTTTTTTAAATAGTGATTTTTTTTTTTAAAGGTGATTTAATGCAAGAAATGTTAGAAGTTAGATTAATAAATGCTGAGAGTTTAAATAAGGCACTAACCCATTGGATTATCAAAATATCTGCGACAAAGAACGTGAGTATAAATCATAAGGTTTTAATAAGATTTTATTAGATTGGGAACCACTAAATCACAAGGCCTTAATTATTTGATAAGAAACAAGAATTCTTTGTCTTCAAACCACGTCAGTCAGTGAAAATATCCGTTTGCAAGTTTGTTTTTTTCATTTATATATATATAATTTGTTGTTCGTTGCTTGATTTTTGTTGACCCCATCGATTTTAAATTATTTTGAAAGTAAATGATGACCTTCACTGAAATAGTCTTTCACCACATGATGCCAAATGCTAATTGGCAAAGCGAGTTGGTAAATGTCCATGATTAAAACTTAATTGCAGCCAAGCACGAGACTACTCATATATTAAAACTTATCCATATTTATCTATATAAATACCAAAGTTTTTTTTATCTCCTAAAGATTACATCTCCATACCATTATCATATATAGTTCATTTCTCATTTTAGAGGAATTTCCAATTAAACATAATGGTCAATGCATATGTCCACAAAAGGAAATACCAAATTAGGTAGTCTATCTGTATATATGCTTATGTGTGTGTATATATGTGTGTGTGTGTGTGTGTTTGTGTGTGCTAGCAAACCTTAATTATATGCAGCATGAGTTCTTCAAGGGCCATAGGAGTAGCGGAGATGGTTTCTTGCAACTCGTCAACAAAGCAGCCAAAACCCATTGCTGCAACTAAGCGCAAAGCCTCAAAAGCCAACGGTCACCCTCACAAACAATCAAAAGATCGCCATGTGAAGGTACACGGCCGAGACCGCCGGATCTGCCTAGCTCTCGAATGTGCTAAGCGTGTGTTCCGGCTGAGTCAAGTGCTTGGCCATCGGACTTGTGGTCAGACCATAGAGTGGCTTTTGCAGCAAGCAGAACCCGCCATCAATGCTGTCATTTCCACCAACTCCTCCACGTTGCCATCGCCGCCGCTGCCGGTGATCGACGGTTCGAGTCCTCTTTCCTCTAGTCCACCGTCTGTTGATTTATGTGCTAATTCTTTAATCATGTCTTCAACTGATTTTGAGACGAAAACAATATCACCTCCTCCTGAAAACCAAGCATCCATATCTGAACCAGTGTTACCTTGCTTTGATAATGATTTTGATACAAACTTTGAGATGGATTTTTTTGGCAGCAAGATTGCGAGCATGCCATTTGCACACTTTTGGCAATCACTGTCTGGATGATGAAGAAGATGATGAAGAGAAAGAGTTAAGAGTAAAAAAGGGGATCTATCTTTTTTCTTTTGGGGTTTAGTGAGCGTGTTTTATGTTCTAATTTTTTATGGGTCGGATATTGGAGTTTTAGGGCTTCAAACAGTGTTCTTCGATCACCAAAATCTTCTTAATTTCCATTGATGAAAATTTTGGTGTTATACATATTGAAAATTTGGAAGCAATTGGAAAAAAGAAACCCTTATGTTATTGAGAATAAATTTAATTTATGTTGTATTTGGAAGTATTGAATTGGTGTTTTGAATTTAGGATCAGAAAGAAATCCTTGTAAAGTTTTAACTAATTTTCTTTCAATTTTATATTTCAGTACTTCCAAACATAGCATTAACATTAAGAAGTTAAAAAAGCATGAATGTGATGATGCTACATGTGATATGTGCTGTGGAGTTGTATTCATGAAAGAATGTGAGTAGAAACAAAAATAAATAAGTAATGCAACATGTTATACCCAGCAATGTAAATTCATTTAAGAACGGTAGGTAGATCATATTCGTATTTCACTTTTTTTCAATTGTACTATATTTATTTTTTTCTTTTAAAGGAAATGATAAGGTCATTGAATTCATTAATATACTATCCCTTAATTTATAATGTCATAACTACCATTTATTCAACTTTAACATATTTTTACCTTCTTTACTTTATTTACTATTTCTTTTCCTTTCTATTTGTTTTTCATATAGATTAAAAAATATATAAATTAATCTTCTTATTTTCTTTTCTCTTTTTTTTGGGTGGGGGGAGGGGGGGGATCTTGACAAAAAAGATAATTTCTTTAATAAATATTTTTTTTTGGGCTTTTTTTTCCATGTCAAAAGAGATAATTTTTTCAATGATTTATTTATTTATTTATTTATTTGATCGGGTTAAAAGAGTCAATTTATTCAACATAAATTTTTATTTCTTGGTCCCATAAAAAATATATATATATATTCAATTAATTTTTTGTCTTGTCAAAAGAAACCTAAAATAATAAAGATTAGAGATAAGGAGAGGAAATTTGAAAAAACAGTTTTGTTATTTAAAAAGTAATAATTATTTATTTATAAAGTTAGGATTATAATTATCATTTCATTTAAAATTATATGTTGAAAAGTGAAGTACGAATATTATATCATATTGCAATGCTATTATAACATATTTATTATATAACATATTATATCATGTTGCAATGCTATAATAACATCAAAAAAAAATTTTAGCACATTTACTAATTGTTGAATTGAAGTTTGGATTAACGTTGTAAACAAGCAAGATAGAAACGGGACCAAAAACACATGAGAAATTATTCTGATTTGCCATTGTGTTATTTTTAAAGTATTATTTTTTATAAATTGAATAAATTACTGCCTAACGTACAAGGATGGTGTTACAAGGGGGAGACTTGTCCCACATCGGATCCAGATGAGAAGTGACATAGGTATAAATGGGTGGGTATGCAGTACTACTCAATAATTTGAGCTTTTAGGTAAATGGACAAGCGCCCACTCGTTACCGTTGGTATCAGAGACAGACCCAATCTTTAATCCGGTGTCACGCCAAGCGCCCGACTCGAAAAGCGTCCGGGTGAGCCACCCCAAGTAAGTAGAGTGGCCCAATCGCAATTAGGGCGTTGCGAATTCGGGTGGGGGAGAATGTTACAAGGGGAGATTTGTCCCACATCGGATCCGGATAGAAAATGACATGGGTATGCAGTACTATTCAATAATTTAAACTTTTGAAAATGAATAAGCCCGTTACAGATGACTTTTAATGTCAATTAACTTAACATTTTGGAAATGTTTCAATATATGTCAAATGAAAATTTTCATACCTAATGTACTAAGATGACATTATTTTGTGGCCTAACATACAGCTTCCCGATTGGGTGTCTTCTCTTGCTTTTAATATGTTTAAAATAAAATAAAACAACTAAATATACGAATTACTCCGTACATCACAGTACAAGTCAAATTGACTTCCGAATGACTTGTGTCAATTCAAACCCTACCCTAGTCTAGCGTCTATTTAACCAACATCAACCTGGCCCAGCCCGGACCAGCCCAATTATAATCAACCCACACTTTTTATCTAACTACTGAACCATTTTGCCAAGATTTAGACCATATTCGGATCAATTTTCGGCATATGTTGCTATATAGATCCAGAGCCCTTTATTACCTATTGGACTAGCTCAACTCGAGATCCAATCCAATAAGTTACTCCAGATCTAACCCTAACATTCTTGAAATGAAAAAATAATAATAATAAATAAATAAAATCTACAAAAAATATAAAGCCGATAACAAGGTTTATTTAATTATCATGGACTCCCAAGCACACGAATTTTCTATAAATAGAAATAGAAAATGGAAGGATTGTTATTCAACATGACTTATATGGTCAACCAATATCTAATTTCTTTTTTTTTTTTTTTAGGAATGAAATAGGCTGCAAAAATAGAATGATTTATATCTATTTGATTTTGATATGCTAATGGGTTGGTCCGGATGAGTTTTGAGAACTTCGGTAATTCAATGGTTGGATTGTTTCGAATTATTCTTGAGAGCCTGACTATAAGTCTTTGCACCTCTCACTTTTAATCTAACATTCTTGTCCTGAATATATATATATATATATATATATATATATATATATATATATATATAAATCATAAGTTTTGACCAACTTCATGAATTTGTTCCTTGTAGGGGTAGAAACTTCATCCAAATTTCAAGAAACTTATAGTAGAACTTAACAGAATTTTCCTAGTTCAGGATTATATTTCTTGAGTTCTATTATACGAAATTTGCTAAACCTAAGCCTACAAATCTAACAAAGTGAACTTAGAATTATCTCATGTTCAAAGTAACCTTATCGGACCTTTTGAACATGCATGCTTGACATATACTTATTTTTATATCTCCTTTTTCATCTTTTCTTTCCCTTTTTGTCACAAATTGGCCATGGTTGCACATTATATAATAGAAATGAAATTTAAAACATAGAGAGAAACAAAATATTTTTTTTTTTTTTCTAATTGTTACTCATGCACCCCTCTAAAAAAATTATATAAACATATTTCACTAAACTTGAAAATCCATTACATAAGAAAACCTAATAATATCCTGATCCAATATATATTTGAACTTAGAAAGTTCATTACAAAATTTGGACCATATATAAATTAAAACAAACAAATAAAACATAAGCATGAGTGCTAGTCCTAGTATATATATATATATAGTACTAGAAACAAAGTAAACATACATATAATTCTTTTTTGCTACTTCACTGTATCAAAAAGAGTTTGTGACATATTTACTTATTTTTTAAATGGCAATGAGCATAGAGTGGGGAACTTAAGGTCTGACTCTTTATCACTCGGACCTAAAAACACAGAGTGGGAACACTTAAGACCTGACTCTTTATCACTCGAAAAACGCCGCCACACCTGTTTCAGAAAGAAGAAGGAAATTGGAGTTCCTTGAAATGCAAGAGGAACTCGATCATCAAGGTTTATAACATTTTGATTTATGGTGTTGCCTAATTAACACCCAATTCAGCTTTAATTTGCCACATGCATTTGAACACATTTTAGTGTTCATGTTGCATCAAACATTGTACATGCTGGTTGTATATGCTGCATTAAACAGTGAACTTTTTTTCTATCCTTCGGACACTTAAAACAAATTAACTCCAATAACTAGACAAAGGTAAAACGAAAGCATTATGGGACTCTCAGATAAATTTTACCATTCAACCATGTCAAGGACGCACGACACACTTGAACAAAGAGTATTAAAAAAATTGGCTAGTCAAATATCATGTGATGATGGTGACTGGTGAGACGGTACTTCTTTGGGATAGAGTTGTTATGGAGTTAATGTTTGGATAAATATTTTGTTTGTTATATTAATAAATAGTGGAATATGACTCTTTTTAAGTTTTTTTTTTTTTGGTTAAGTCATATATATTAACCAAATATAAGATGTACAACGCTAACCAACTAGCCCACAAAAAAACAGCCCGAAGGCAACCAAGAAAACACAGGCCCAAGCTAGAAGATCTCACCCGAAAGCCCAACCCAAATGGCCCAAAGCCAAATAAAAACCTTCCCTCCCCCAAGCTCAGAACCAGGATTCAAACCAAGGAGGGAGAGCAACAGAAGGCAACATCACCCAGACGTAACCTCAGCAGTATTAATAATCAAACTAGGGAACCCTCATTCAGCAGCTATATATCTCAAGCTGGCGGAGTCCTTAGTTTTGATAGAGAGAAGACGAGCTCGAACATAATCTTCGATGATCTTTTATACAGCTTGAGGGGACTTTTGAGTTCCAGCACAGGTATGATTGTTCCTCTATTTCCAAATAAAATAAATTGTAGTAGAGAAGCAGAGCTTGATTGTAATGGCTTCAATCGATTTACACTAAGCTTTCCAAACCGTCCCAATCCACTTGCCCATGAAAAGAAAGCTGCGATCACCACAATACACACTACACTTGCGCTTCACATAATCCCAAATACATGAGGAGAAACTGCATTTAAAGAACAAAAGCTCATATATGGGTCTCTACCTCATTCATACAAAGAGAGCAAAGGTTAGAGTTATCCGAGGGCGACCATAAGAACCTATCCGTAGTATAGAGTCTACAATTCAAGGCAAACCAGGTAATGAAGGCGTGTCTAGGGATACGTTTGGGGAACCATATAATGTGGTTCCATCTAAATAGAGGAGCTGGTGGTAAGAGAGCATTCTTTTTAAGCACATTGTTTATTAACTCCATGACATAATTTCTTCTATATGGCTTGTTCTCATATTTTGACTATGTTGAATGGCTCCGTAGAACAATATAAAATTGAAGAGAGAAATAAAGAAAGAATAACTTATTACGCGGTTCAACCACTACCGCTTATATCCATAAGAGAAGAGAGTGGAGGTTTTTCTTATTAAGTAACTCTCAATGAAGATCACAACAACACAATAAATAGATACAATGTTGCCCAATCAGAGATTGCCATTTAAGAAAAATTACCATCTGTCAGCTTACCTACCAACAGTTTATTTGTATGGTGTTGAGATAATAGTAGAAGAGCTTCAACAAATATTTTGCCAAAATAGACGGACAAAAAAAAAGAAGAAGAAGAAAAAAAATTCTTCTCCCATTAAAAGCTAAACTAAAAAACAGTTTCCAAATAATACCGCGTAAGTCAAATGGAAGTGTCATAGTTTCTATTCCTCTTTTTCTACTACATAAAAGAAACAAAAATTATTGCAAACGAGTTGGTATGACTTCTCAATCAAGAGTGGTTGTCATCTCCGAAGTGAAATGAAAAAAAAAAAAAAAAATTAAATAAAAGTAAAGGAGTAGTACAAGTAAAAATTAGAAGTTGTTTTCTCTTCGTATATTTATCTCAAATATTGAGAACCTCAATGCATGAAAAGTTTAGGGTCCAAGAAATGTGTATGATTTAAATCCCAATAGAGAGGCATGGAACTAAAGAAATTAACTGGTTAGAGTAGGGCAGACCCCAATGTTCAACCACATTGTTAAATCAAAAAGACATTATAGGCCAAATTTTCATCATGGACCAAAATTTTATCATGGACAAACTCATGCATATCCTAACCTAGCTATCCAGAATAACAAAAAAACAAATTGTAGGTCTAACAGAATAGTATTCAATTATAGTGTGTCAGTGACCAACATGATTATGTGTAAATGAAACGTGGTCTTATCGACCACTAATGAACTTATGACCTTTTTCTCATCTGTTCATGTCAGAATTATCTTGCAAAACCACATATAAGTGGTGCTAATTGGCAAAGCAAGTTAGTAAATGTGGGTGATATATTAATTGCATCCAAGCAAGAGCCTACTTAGCACAACTCATATATTAAAATTAATCCACGTTCATCCACAGAAAAAATTCAAAAATTTTATAATTTTATCTTGTACTGACTCTTTTCCCTTTAGGAGTATGTCTCGATTTACAGTTCATGCCTCTTTTTAGAGAAATTAATTTCAATGCACTTATCCGCAAAAGGAATTAAATACTTAATTAGTTAACTAAGGAGCAGGGATAATAAACATAGTCTATCTGTAAATACATTGTGTTACTATATATATATATGTGCGTTTGTGTGTGTTTTTGTGTGCTAGAACCCTTAATTATAAGCAACATGAGTTCTTCAAGGGCCCTAGGGGTACCTGAGATGGTTTCTTGCTACTCCTCAGCAAAGCAGCGGAAACCCATTGCTGCAACCAAACGCAAAGCCCCGAAAGCAGCCTCCAAAGACCGCCATGTGAAGGTGAACGGCCGAGACCGCCGGATCTGCCTAGCTCTCAACTGTGCTAAGCGTGTGTTCCAGCTGAGTCAAGAGCTCGGCCATCGGACTTGTGGTCAGACCATAGAGTGGCTGTTGCAGCAAGCTGAACCAGCCATCAATGCTGTCATTTCCAACAATGCCGCCGCCGCCGCGGCTGCTCCACCGGTCACTGGTTCGGCTCCTCTCCCCTCTAGTACTCCTCCTCAACCATCTGCACCATCTGTTGATTTATGTGATAATTCTATGATGCTGTCTTCAGCTGATTTTGAGCCCCAAACAGTGCCACCTTTTCCTGAAAACCAAGAATCTGGAGTACCAGTGTTGCCTAATACCTTGGATGTTAATGATTTTGATTCAAACTTTGAGATGGATCTGTTTGAGAGTGAGATGGCGAGCATGCAATTTGCAAATTTTTGGCAATCGCTGAATGGATGATGGAGAAGGTGAAGAGAGAGAGTTGAGAGCAAAAAGAGGGGGATAAAGAACTATATTGTTATTGAAGAATAATAAAATTATTTATATATGCATATTCTATTTCATCTTTTTCTAGCTTTTGGGGTTAAGGGTTTAGTGGACATCTTTTATGTTCTAATTTTATGGGTCAGATATTGGAGTTTTAGGGCTTCTAATAATGTTCTCTGCGTTGATGATATGTATTTGAAAAATTAGAAGTATTTAGAAAAATTAGACTCCGTCTATGGTAGAATGTTCCCGAGAATAAATTGTCATTGTTACATCAATTATATATATATATATATATGTTTGTGTTTCTTGAATCCTTTCATGTTGGAATTTAATTAGGGTCTATGAATGAATGTGTAGAAGCAAGATCACAAGGATATATATATATATATATATATATATATATATATATATCATCTCCCGTAAATTTTTTCATAGTTTTATCAAAAGGGTAAAGTTCATGGTTATGAAAAGAAAATGAACCTGTAACCAAATAATAACAAAATTTAAATGTCACTTATTTTGCATCATTATTGTTAGAGTGTACAAAAAATCGTTGGAATCAATAAACTGTTGGAATCAATCAACCAGTATGCTATTTTGGCTCTTTTTTTAATTCTGGTTTGAAAAATAACTAAAAGTTAGATTACGATTCGACTACCGATTGAAGTGCATTACGATAAAACCCGTAAAATATATATAGAGAGAGAGAGAGCGCGCAATGATTCACGTCTCGAAAGTAATTTTTAGACTTGTATCTCGATACTACAAAGCAACGAACGAGACCATAATGAAAACAGCAAAAGCTTTCCTAGTGGAATATTTATGAATATGTTTATGCCAAAAAAAAAATTTCTTTGTGGGAGGATGAACCGAGGCGCCATTGAAACACCAATAAACATTCTAGTCCATCAGCGTTAGCTGCCACTGACAACCCTTTTAGAGATGACATTAGCAAGTATTAATCCACCAAAAACTACAAGCATAATTCTATTGTTGATTCCAAATTGATATCAAGTGTTTTTCGCATAGCGATGAATTATTCGTTGATGGAGAATTTAGGGTCTGAGATTTGAGCGAGTTGCCGCATATACCCGGACCCGGTTCAAGAGAAAGAGACCATAAAGAGATTAAAAAAACTTCAATATCTTTCTTTTTCATTTTTTATTTTGTCAAAAAAAAAAAAAAATGACAAACTTCATTATCGTTTTAAATCCTTGGAGATGGATAAAATATTAGCCCGCCTTATTTCGGCATCTTCTCAACGGTAATGACAGAAGACCTTCGAGTTGGAAATTCACTGAACTTGTTGGATCCAGTGAACCCTCTACAAAAGTGTGATCTTAAGTCACCAACTGGAAACAGCCATGTCATTTGATGATATATATATAAAACCTAAAGATGAGACTACAAAACTACAGGTCTGTGTCTCCAGAGACCTTTTGTACTCTCATCATTAAAAAATTGTATGTATTTAATGTTATATTATAATATCAGCTGTTTATGGTATGGTACAATCTAATAGCTTTCATTTAATGTTATATATTTTAATTTTTTAATCTTTTTTTTTTTTTTTTTTTTTTTTTTTTTTTTTTGGGGTATTCAATGTTATATTTTAATATTATTATTACATTACAGGGGGAAACTTTAAATAATGTCTTATTAATTACATTATTTTTTTTAAAGATTTTTGAAGTTCTAGAACCATGGTTCAGAACCAAACCGAACTAATTTTTTTTAGGGTTTGATTGTTATTATTATTATTATTATTATTAAATACTTAGAATAAGACTTATCTTCAAACATTTAAGGAAATATGTCTTCTTCTTTCATGATTGGAGACAAGTATTTTGTTGTTTGAGTATTGATATTTGGGCCCAAGGTTTGACGGAATCACTTGACCAAATAAATTTAATTGATAATTAATGCAAGAAATAAGGAAGTGAAGAATCATATTTTCTCGTACATTTTCTTATATTTGACATGCATCGACTCATTAAAAGCATTGGTTAAAGAATTTTGTCTAACTCATTGACTTTAAAAAAAATTTCCTTCTGTTTGTTCAAGTTTAACGTAAATGTGTAAATGTGTTGTCTCCTTATTTTCCTAATATATTATTATTGGGTTATCTATATATCTGACAAAATAAGAAAAGAAAAAAAGAAGGAGACAACACATTTAAGCTAAACTTAAACTAACAAGAAGGAAAATATTTTTAAAGTACATCCTCCACTTCCTTATCTCTTGTATTAATTATCAATTAAATTTATTTGGTGAAGTGATTCTGTCAAACCTTGGGCCAAAATATCAACACTCAAACAACAAATATCAATACTCCAACAACAAAATACTTGTCTCCAAAAAGGAGTAAATAATAAAGAAGTATTCTTTAACTGGTAATAACTATGCCCTATCATCTTCATATGTTTACGGTGAAAGACCCAAAAAGGATAAGATTTAGAGTAGAAAGTCAGAAAACTCTTATTTATTTATGTGAGTAGATAATGAAATGTCGAAAATATCATTAGTCTCTATTCACATAAATGAATAGGAGTTTGATTTTCGAACTTCAAATCTTATTCTTTTTTAGTCTTTCACCATGAGTTTATGAGTATTTGAAGATGATCTAGCATAGCTATCACCTATTGGAGAATACTTTGACCGTCTGTTATTATTTACTCATTTATTTTCTTATTTTGTTGGATATATATATCCATTAAGAATATAAGGATATAATTTTTAAATAAGGAAACTACACATTTATGCCAGACTTGGACAGTTCACTTATTGTTTAATATCTATGTATTTGACAAATTAAGAAAAGAAATGAGTAAATAACAACAATAGATAACTATTTGAGGTCATCATTTTTAAATGCGTATAGATTTATGGTAAAAGATCAAAAAATGACAAGATTTGAAATCAAAAGTTAGACAACTCCTATTCATTTATGTGAGTGGATGTGACGCCATTGGTCACTAATATTTCTGACATTACATCACCTATTCACATAAAATAAATAACAATTGTTTGACTTTAGATCTCTAAATCTTATCCTCTTTTTGGTCTTTCACCCATAAGAAGATCTGGCATAACTATCACTTATTGGAGACTTGGAATATACTTCGTCGGCCTGTTGTTATTTACTCATTTAACGAGCACCCTATCATTACTATATATATATATGTGTGTATGTATGTATGTATATACACACACGTTTTTTTAAATATTTTTGGGTGATGTTTTGGCAGAAATGATGATTAGCTTAAATTTCTTTCAAAATTTTAAACCGTTTTAATCAGACATGGAGTTCAAAAAATTAGCATTCTAGAATTCGAAAATTTATAGTGCCAGCTACTATATCTTGGAATAAGCATTAATTAAGTACTAAAAATAAATAAACAAATAAACATTAATTGCCCTCTTTGTAATTAAATGTGTTCTCTCATATATATATTTTTTTCTTGGGGAATAACTTAATATGTACTTGTTAAAAACTTATGATCATTTTATCAGACTCATATAGCTGTGAAAAAGGAGGTTGTCACATTGATTCTCGCAGTGAAGAACAATCACTGAGATCTAACATTAGTTTACTTTTATTAGAGCATGACATGAAACAGATCTATAACAAGCAATGTAAATTTCAGTCAGATAATGGTCCTGTCTAGGAATTTCACTAGGCTTGCATGTTATATTGTTATGGGATAAAAATAAACGGGAGAAAAGGAATTTATTTTTTCTCCGAAAATTAAGGAAAGGGAGTCAGAAATTTGTCCTAACACAAGGATTCGAACTTTGATGGGTTACACATGATGAAGTAATTAAGTGACATCTCCTCAAACTTACAAGGGACCAAAAAAGAAAATTATTAAAATAAGCATGTAGAAAAAAGAAATTTTAAAGAAAAATAAAAAGGAATGAAAATAATGAGAACTTATGAGGAGTTTGATTGAAGAAGGGTAATTTAACATATTTATTTTAAAAGAAATTTAAAACGAATTTGAAGAGTAAAAAAGAAAAGAAAGAAAAAGTAAAGAGATAATTGCAGAAATTAAATTTTTCAAGGGGGGCATTATTTAAATTTTTTCATATATAACAAGTGCAAACTCTAGTAAAATAGTAATTTTGGAAGAATTAGCTTTATATTATTTGGAAATCATATTATTATATATATAACAAAGCTTAAGGGCATAACTTATTATTATTATTATTATTGTTTATCTAGTTAAAATTCTCTTCTACTTTGCCCCTGCAGTGACTTGGACCTTACCTTAGGACAATACTTGGAGATGGGTAAGAAAACACAACGTTACGACAATACTTGCAGATGAGTAGGGGGAAGTTCCTATTCATACATATAGATGTAGGACAATACCTTTGACATCTCTTCATCTGCAAATTCTCGATGTGAATACAGAGACAAAGGGATTATATTTGAATAGGAAAAAGGGGATGTGTTTTACAAAAGATTTGAAAGGAAATCCAGATTAAACCCAATAACAAGTTGGATCCAAATTAGATCCAAATCTGATTCTCTCTCTATATAAAATCTTACATTTGCGCACACAAACACGAGCCCACACACATATAAAGAGGGGAAAGAGAGAATCAGAATACAGATTTTATTTGGATCCAACCAGTTGGTGAGCGGGCAAGTATTGTCCAAAATAGAGGCAATCGAATCCATAGGCACAACTCACAACTCAATCAATCTTCCGACCCTTGAAATGACGCAACTAGAAGGCTGACCTTCAGCCAGACAGTCCTATGCTAGTCTTACAACAACTAAGCACCGCCTGCTCTGATTTAAATAAAGCTTCACTACATTAACAAAGAAGATTGAAACCCTTCGTTCTACTCTGTTAAGAAAGCACATTATATCGGAAATACCAAAACCATCCATTAACATGCGATCACAAAAACTCGCATGTCCAAGTTAGGAACATTGGTCATAACAGCAGAATTAGAAAGCAGAACCTAGAATATCTGCGCAAGAAACGAGCTAGAAGGAATTCTTTCACACCAATGTTATTTTGCTGAAAATAAAGACTGTAGCTAAGAGTTGTATCAAGGACAGACATGTACAAATGACGCTGTAGCATGAAACCAGGATGAAATTTCTGCAGCGCTGCAGTACCCGTCCTTGGAATCTGCTCTGGAAGGAAAGCCAAATAGAACAAAGTAATAAGATAATTGAGACCTATTTTATACGCAACACAAGAAAAAAAGGTAGAATAGGATCCATGAACATTACCATTTCGTCAATTGTACTCTTCAGGTAATTCGAAATGCTCATCTTGAAAGGCCCACGACCTTCTCTTCTTCTTAGACCCAAATATGGGCATATCTGGATTACAACCAGCAACAATAGCGTTTTTATACCACAAAAGAATGCCAAATAGTTTCAACTTGCAAGTGCTTTTATCTAATGCGGTTCCAATATAATTAATAAGGGACCATAAAAGTTGAACACGCAACCCAAACATCGATCTGGATACGCAATATAATTTATTATAGATTCGCTGCTCAATAAATCCTTGAATACCAACTATTTTGGCCAGCAACCTTCATTTGACATTCAGATCTATTCAGAGTCTTATCAGTAACGTTCAAAAACTCGCTAACATTGCACTTTCCTAACTCGCTAACATTGCACTTTCCTAATTGACATGGACAAACTTATCAGATCATAAAAGAGAGAGAAGTTCAACATTTGCCGTTCAATCCATGTTACTTATCAATAGAGTAGTAAGTTTTAATTCTTTTCTTGTTACAAATTGCTCCATCCAAATGCAACGGGGGGCTGGAAAAATACGATAAATGTTTCTACAGTAAACCAGATTACCAAAATTGTGTTGACCATAGTTTTTAAATCAGGATGCACCAATTCACAATCCTTATTTATTTATTTTTAGTTGGAAATTCAACCCCCTATTAGATTTTAATAGTTTTTCTAAACAGGTATTTTGTCGTTTCTAAGTAACTACTCAGACCCAAAATAGCTGCAGACACCAAAGAGTGGTGGAATGGATATGGCACCAAACATTTCTTCTACAAGAAACTGAGATGCACGTGACAGTACAAAACATTTCACCTGCTGGGTGCAAATGCTTGAATCCAAAGGCCTTCTTATTGAATTTTACTGGATGCAAAGGCTATTAACAGGTGTTTGACAACCCATTAATCCACTCTATCCTTCTCTCTTCGTCACCCTTCATCTCTTCTGGATCTTCATACCCTTCACCAGCCCCGCCCTCCCCCCCCCCCACCCCCATTGTGCATATTTATTATAATGAATCCAAAATAAATACACGTTTGTCCCTAAACAATATTAGTCGAATCACCAAAGGGCCTTTGGCCCTAATGGTATAACCTCCTCATCTTCAAAGAAGAGGGGAGGGGTTCGAGCCCGGGCGTGGGCAAAAAAGTGTGTGTATGTTTGCTTTATCATAAAAAAATATATAAAAAAATAAAAATAAAAATAATATTAGTCGAATCCAAATCTGAGAAAATATGTATCTGCCTATTTCATGCTCTTCCCAGTAATGAACATATTTAATATAATAAAACTGTAAACAAAATATCTTACAAAAAGACAAAATCAATATTGTTCTCATGTTGCCATTAGCATACAGAATAGAAAATGTTTAATTAGGAAATATATGGATCTTTACCTCCTTGAGGATATATTGAATTATAGTGCACCTCTGCCCAAAAGCTCAAGAAAATTACTGCACAAAAATCCCAATGTTTTATTACACATAATGAATGAAAAAATTAAAACAAGGAAATATGCAATGCATTTCTTTTTCTAATATATATGGTATTTAGTGAAGCAACATTCAACTGAAACTAGTGATAAGAAAATAATAACAACGTGATCAGAATTCAGAAGTATATACTGATCATGACTTAGAGATAGAGATGTGGAGGCCTTCTGCTGATGTGTTTCACCACGAGGGAATCATTTCTCAATATTTCTCATTTTCTCTCCACCATCCTATACCTTTCCCTATTTGGTATGTACAATGATATAAAAGCCCTCACATTAAGTGAAAGCATGGTTTGCCAAACCAGCCGGTTCGCAAAGGAGTTAGAGCTCACTAATACTGGTTCTGGCCAGTATACCGGTTGCTGCTCTCATTCACATCTGAACCGGCTGATTTGTGGGCATGTACAATGATATAAATGCCATCACACTTAGTGAAAACATGGTTCACCGAACCGGCCTGTTCGCAATGGATTTAGAATTCAACTGATACCGGTTCTGGCCAGTATACTGGTTGGTGCTCTCATTCACATCTGAACCTACTGGTTCGTTTTTCATATGGTATCGGCGTTTTTCTATCTTAACGGACCGGTTCGGAACTACTAGGAGCACGTGTCTTAGTAAAAAGGTAAGGATCAAGAGAATCAAACCTGTGCCCCTTGTACCAACCAAAAAGCTCTCTACATCCACCAGACCACATGTGAATTTCAGATATAATGTTCCAACAAATATATATATATATATATATATATATATATATATATATATATATATATATATATATTGTATCCAGGAATGACTTTTGAATTTAAAATACAAAAACCATTAACCCTTTCTACAAGAATGTAATTTATTTTTATTCATTAATATACTATAACATATTTATTTATTGTGTCTTTATAAATGATACTCTTTACTATTTAAATCTTATTTTTTCTTCGTTATATATGGTATGAATTTTAATTTATTTAATGCTTAAATATATATTATTCATTAGTTTTGTGAAAAATATTATTATGATGCCTTTTTAATAACAACTTAGAATTTATAAATAGGTCACTAATTGTGTATAAATGATCTTAAAAGTCAATAAAAACTACTAAAATTCATTTTTATTGAATTATGTTGTAAAAAGTAGGGTATCCTTGATTTTTTTTTTTTTTTTGACTTATGAGGTTGAAAAATTTTCACGCGATAACTGATTCCGTTATATAACGCCGATGGGGACCCAAGTCCATTACACGGCATTCGCGTCTGCGTAGGCAACGGCAATTGCAAACGTTGAGTGAAAGTAAGGGTTATTGATGTCAAGATGGAAATTAGTATGAAGCTAACCTACTCAAATGATGGATAAGTTACCATAAATAAACCTCAATAGAGATGTACTTTTCATAATTTTAGTAGCTATTGAATAAAATCTGTTTTATAAGCCAAGCATAGGCAAATCAATTCAGCCCAATGCCAGTAAATAGGCACAAAATCAGGACAGATAAGGCTCCAGCCTCTAGCTAATATCATGCCACAAAATTCAATTGTCAACCACACCCCATCCAAGCCACGGAAGCTCCGTTATCTGATGACCTCTGAACAGCAATAACCTTATTCTAATTGCACAGGTTGATCAACGTTTGAGAAAAGCTTCATCTTTGGAGTGAATATGGGGTTTTAGTGCAATTAGTTAATTGGAACTTTTTGCCACTTTAGACATAAGTAGATCAGAAAAAATATAAAAGAATAAAGAAAAAAAGGAAGTATTAGGTTTTTCTGCCTAAGGATTTAGCAAAGATAACTAGCATTGGGTTACTTTCTCTTCCTCTATCGGAGAAGAATATGTGCAAGAAAAAAGATAAACTTTAGCTAAATATTCTTGACTATAATCATCCATTGATTCTTTCATGGAACTTTTAGATAGTTTAAATAGCAATGTACTAATTAGTTTGGTTTTGGGCCTTTATCTTGTATACTTCACATGCACTTAGGGTATGCCCCTTCTTTGGCCTTTGCTACTGAAAACTTTACTTATCAAATATATACATATATATATATATATATATATATATATAATATATTTCATCCCTGTATTTTATTCCTTTTTTTTTTTTCTCAGTACGTGCTCATGACATGACAAACATTTTTAAACAGACCAAATCTAAGAATCTGTAACATAGCAGTGTATACCTTGCCACATAAAGACAACTACATCCAGCGGTTTGTTAAAGATTCTTGGTACTTTGTACACCACAAGAACAGCCACTCTCACATAATCAACTTGACATCACATCTTTTAGAATTTTAGTAACATCGCCATCAAATGTAATATAATGGAAACTATCAGTACAATAAAGTGCCTCAAAAGAAGCAGCAAAATAGCATCAAATAAGATACAGCATTATAAACAATGGTAAGCCGAAAGAGATAAAAATACCCTCAAATTTTCCGAAATTTACAGATTTTTATGTTAGTAAAGGGAACTCGTGAAATAATACCTCGTTTGGACCTTTGAACACTTGGAAGAATCTCGATGTAGCATGTGTCCTTGAATGATGTAAGCACAAACATCTTAACACCATACTGCAAGGAATCATCAACATCCATAAGAATACATGTTACTGTTCTAAATATATACTCATTAACCATACTCACAAAAAAGTCAATAAATCCATTTATACAGATATTGTTGCACATACTTCAATTTTAAGCCCCATTAAGACTGATGACTCATATTTCATAGATTTTGCACAATGAGGACATTGCAGTCAGGGACGGAGCCAGATATTGATGCGCATACTTCAATTTTAAGGCCCATTAATACTGATGATTCATATTTCATAGATTTTGCACAATGAGGACATTGCAGTCAGGGATGGAGCCAGCATGGGCCCGGGTGCACCTGCCCCCCCGTCCCAATGCTGGCCTATTATTATTATTTACATTTTACACATTTTTTTATAAGTATTTACATTTTACACATATAGCTTATAAAAATTAACAAAATGCCCCCTTAGATATATATATATATATTTTAAAATCTCTCTAATTCTTCTTTATTTTCCTTCTTACTCTTCTTCAAATTTTTTTATTCTCTTAATCAAACCCTAATTTTTTCCCCTTCAATGCTCTCTCATATTTTTTCTTCTTATTGAGAAATTTATTTTATCATGTGTTAATATGCACCACCTGAAACAAGTTTCTGGCTCCGTCCCTGATTGTAGTCACTGACCAATGATGCAAAACAATAGTTTCTCAAGGAAATATTTTTGAAGACTAATACTGGCCCAGAAGGAAAAAAGAAAAACGAAGCAAAAGAATAAACTAGTGGGATGTATACATTCAACATAGAATGTCACAGATACCACTAGTCTTAGCTGGCCTGGCTCCCCCCAAGGAGGTGACATCCTTCCAAACAGTTAAGATCAAAGTGTCACTTAATAGTAAACAAACCCAAACCTACCAAAAAACTTGTTCCACAGCCCCACTCCTCATTGATCTTCAATGCTAACAAGTTCTAATGTGGACTCTAAATTTCACCAAATGGCCAAAATTACTTGCCCTTCAATATGGTTCAGTATTTTTTCCATTTCCACTTGCCAAATTTATTTTATTTTTATTATTTTTATTTGAGGAAGAAACAATATATGGCTTTCATTCCTCAAGAATTAGGACAAACAATTTTGGAGGCTTAAACACCTAAGACACGCATCTTTGATGTGTGACCAGACGTAGTAAACACCAAACAGTCTAAACATATAACCAGTAAACGTGCAACTGACAGAAACAGAACATCCAAGTTCAAGATTTAAGTCCTTGCTATACTTGTAAGATCCACACCCAAATACCAACAAATTGATATATATATAAGAGAGAGTGTTGCAAAACCATACCGAATCTGCAGCAGCCTGCAAAGTTACATGATCACCCCATTCACCACACCTAGTTCCCGTCCATATGGTAAGCATGGTCAAATCACACACAGTAAAATTCATGATCAAATCAACAAGAAGAAAAAAGGAGTAGAAAAAATACTTGGACATCTTCTTCAAATAGTCACCATAAGCCATGGGAACATATCCCTCATAAATCTCTGGGGAAGACTTCAGCTGTTGACACAATATAATGCAACAAAGAAACGTCAGAGTGCAAGTATATATACCCCAATTACATCTACACAATAATATCAATGGCTAACAAAATAATATGCTGAGATTAACCATACTAAAATATTACCAACCTGATTTACAACTTGTTGCCTCACAAATTCGTGGTGCTCAGGAGATCGATAAATCTGATCCGATAGAGCACGAAACTGGGGAAAGTATGGCACTAGTAAGATATCAAATGAGTTGTCTTGGTAAGCACCATAACAAGTAATAGGCATTCTGTTCATAGGGCAGTCTGTTATATTGTAAAGGTGATTGGGTTATAACCAACATCAATGTATATATAACCAACATAGCAAATATCTCATTGCTTATTAATATCTTATTGTGACCATGGGTGAAGCACCTTTCTGAACTTCTTCAATTAATTAGCGAGTAAGTTGTAATTTTCCCTTTCAAATGTTTGGATGGAAAAACAAAAGGTCACTTAGGCCTCAAGAAAGAAAATCTAAATTCATAGGTTAGGAAAGAGAGAAAAATGAGTTCTGGGACATGCACGCAGACAGACAGATCCCAAGGTGGGATTCAGAAATCAATACTCCATAGTCTTATTTCAAATTAAAACACCAAGACTAACGCAAAAAATTAGAATAAAATAATTAGCATTCCTATTCTCATTCATATACATCTAATTCCTAAATGACCTCGATAAATAAAAATCCGTCAAAGCTGGTTTTCATTCTCCCTAGTGGAGGCATCCAATTATACATAGGGTACATTTACCTATTTGAGAACTCTTCAGATCATTGATCTGAAGAGAACCAAGGAGAAGGAATTCTACAATGAATATCTTCACAAAAGGATTCTTTGATGATACAGAGGAAGATAACAATCGCATGACTGAAATATACTGTAACATTTGGCCTTCTACCCCTATCAAAACCTTGGATAAGGTATCAATCAAGGAACAATCATCTCGACCCGAAAAAGAAAGTAACACGTATGATGCCCAGCCAAAATCAGAAATCTTGCAGAAGTGCAATAGCAATGGACACTAAATAAAACACATAACACAATAATAGTTCAATCTCTCCTTTCCACTTGTGTTTGATGGAAAGAAGTAACTGTTCCATCAATCCAGGCGTGGAATGAATTGATTAGGTATCCCTCAAATTAATACTAAGTTCTGTACAGGCCAGATTACAACAGCTAAACAAATTCCAATGTCATAGTTTTCATCTTACTTAAAATTTATTGTGGATTATTTTTTAAATTTAATCAATTTAAGAAATTTTATGTATAGCGCGAGGTACTAGAGTCACATCTCTATATGGTCTTTCATGATTGAGTAAAATATTATAGAGAGAAATATATTGTATCATTTAAAAGTCTTGAAACAACCATTAGGCATTAGTGCCCTAAATTCAGAAATCACCAATTTGAACACCTGGTTCCATGGTTGATTCAATTTCACACTTCTATCTTATAGTCTTTTAAGTACAAAACATACCACGGTTGATTAATTTTCAGTAAAATATTTGATTTATGAAGTAGTCTATCATGATAAACATAACTTGAATCAGAAGTCTAGAGAAATGTCAAGCTACCTGAATACAAGATAAAAAGAACAAAGGAAAGCAATAATAATAATAATAATAAATAATTTATGAAAATGAGTCGGCTTAATTGATACTACTCATGCTCTAACAAGATATGAAGGGAGAAAGAATATCCTAAAGCATATGATCACACACAAATTAAGAGTTTGGCTCAAGAAATCCACTTTGGCAGTATTTGCTCATCTACTATGGACAAAGGATTCTGTATACCTAAAGCATATCCTAAAGCATATGATCACACACAAATTAAGAGTTTGGCTCAAGAAATCCACTTTGGCAGTATTTGCTTATCTACTATGGACAAAGGATTCTGTATACCACGAACAAGACATCAAAAACCACAAAAATGAGGCACAATAAAGTCAAGTTTGTATAAATTAAAAGGCCAACCTGACAGTTTCCATCTCCTAGAACTTTAAACTCTATCAACTGGTATACCTGCAACCTATAAAGAAAAAACACTTCCAGCATAAAAAAGTTGTACATAACAAATTGAAATAAACAAAAAGAAGGGAATGCCAAAGCCAGAGAAGAGAATAAAGACCTGTAATACTCTGTGTATGTGCATAAATATTTCTAGACAAAATAAAAGGCTTCCTAGAAACATCCTTTGTCCAAAATAACAAAAGAAAAATACCTGTCCAATAGCCTTTGATGATCTAAAGTTGCTTCATCTACGGATGGTATTTCCCCATTGATTCTAGGAACATGCTGCATGAATCAGCAACGCATTAAAGAGTGGATAAGGAGTCCAGTTCCAGGACACCAAAGACAAGAAAATTAAGCAAACAGAAGCACGTTCAAACATGAAATTCAAAGAGAATCAAATGCCAACCACTCTGTCAAATTAGGGACACACATCAGCAATGTGCATTTCTGGCAACTTTTCTAACTTCAATGAAGCATAGAATACAAAATTTTGGATATCCCCAATCTGAAACCTCAAATATAACTAAAAAGACAATTTATTGATAACATACTCAAGTCAATAAAGCATTTTCCCAACTCAATTGACTGGAAATATACGAAATATATATATTATTGTTACCCAAAGTGGCATTAACTCTTAGCACTTCCAAAAAAGGGAGAAGAGAGTACGTATATGATAATAAATCTAGCATAATACTAATATTCCTACACTCCGCACGGCACAAAGCAAAGTTAAAAATGTAAGGTATAGCAGGAGCTGTTATCTCAAATGCTAAAAATAGATAGTAGCATATAGACATCTGGAATTCAACTTTTAAAAAAAGATCATCTTTTATCATTTTTTATTGTACACAATAAATAAAAGTAAACCCAAAATACAATATCAGATGCTAAAACACAACTAGCACCCTGTAAGTACACACAAATAGAAAAATATCACCAGCCAAAGGGGAGGTGAAGGGTTCAATTCCCAAGTGGCACGTGGATGCGTATCACTTAACAGAAAAAGAAGAAAAAAAAACATAAAAACATAAAAAAAGAAAATTAGAAATTTCTTTAAAAGTTCATCAAACCTAAACACTCTGATGATAAAACACTTCCAACCGAGTACATGTACTATTGCCTTTGTATCACACAGAAATCGAAAACTCGGATATACTTACAGGAATAGGAATCATCTGATTTAACCTTTTGCCAACTTCACCATCAAGACCATACTCATCCGTTATTTCTAATGAATATGACCAATCATCCCCACAATATGGCATTCCTTCAGGGCTAGAACATGAACTAGAAGGTCCCATATCATCTGCCTCTTTATGATGGCCATTGTCATGTCCTACAAGTTGTGCACGATATAAGTTGGTTAGAATTGAGCAAAATATAAAGTGATCAAACTAATCGGAAAATAAGATCAACATTCTTAAGTCATTCCAATACCAAAAGTGTAATTTCCAATAGATTCACCAATCCAATCCTGATGGTAAATAGGTTGTTGCAAATGTTCTACTCCTTCCTGGGAAGATTCGGGTGTTTCTGCAACTGAAAGCTGCGATAGTTCTTCTTGAAGAGCATGCGCGATAAGCTCATCATTCGCCACATTACTATATCCTGTATTATAATGATCTTCTTTGATATACTGTTCATGATAATAATCTGGATCAATTTGTGCGACGGTGCCACAATACCCACAACTGGAATATGGATCACCATCAAAAAGCTGGAGACCCCACCGTACAACATCAGGATCTTGCTCGTATGTAATCATTTGCAATATAAATGATTCTTCAATCTAGATTCTGTGCCTGCTCTGACCAATACTGCAAGTATAAATTTGCCAATAACGGGCAAAAGATATTTGAATGTTAGGGACACAAAATTTGACCAGCTTCAAGAAGGGCATCACATCCAACTTCCTTCCAAAGAAAATGCTATACTTCACTATTGAACTTCAAGCCAAGCCAGAAAATTGATTGAATGCCCAACAAGAGTGAAAAGGTTAGCCAACATACCCCAAAATCCCAGGAAATCGTCTTCCGTTGCAGTTTCTTAAAGATAACTAATAATATTATACCTGCAGACAATCAAGTTACATATTCCGCATTCAAATACTGTCATAAAAAAATTATAATATAATTTTAAAAAAATAAAAATAATAATAATATCCCATAAGAAAATTTGGCAACTACACCATAAAAACAAACTAAAGGATAATCAGACCAAATCCAATGTTGCTTGCAAAGTGGATAAGAGCCAATAAGAACTGAAAGGTTTTGGAAAAGAGGACAGCCAATTATTAATAAAGACATAAGCTCAGTCCTAATAGTTTTGAGTTATTTGTAGGGGAAAAAAAAAAAAGGTGATGTTATGCATATATAAATCATTTGGGGTTTATTATGCATCACGAAAGCATAAGGATATGCATGACTATATAAAAAAAATTCTAAATTGCCTGAAATTCATGCAAGCTCAAGGATATCATGACACACTGGGAAATGGGCGCGCACATAGATGACAAACAAGCAGGACAATAAAACATCAGATTAAATTAAATGTGAATAACTTCAACTATAGTAACAATCTGCGAGTCTATCCGACATCATACGATTGACCTAGGGTGAGCCAGCACATCTTGTGAAGAAAAAAATAGTACCACCTATTTGCCATTTGAATCATCTTCATCACATTCATCTTTTAATAATAGCATTTGCACTTAAATGATTTCATTAAGCAAAATTATTTAATATTGAACGATTTTACAAAGATAATTTTGTGTCAAATGCTATAAACACAAAATACATAGTTAATTCGCCCGAATTTGGAAATGTACCAATACTTTTTTGCATCAAATGCTACCAACACAAAATGCATAATTAATTCGCCTGAATTTGGAAAGATACCACATGATGAGCCAAAGCTAAATTATTAGTGCTTACCATGTGATAGTTTTGGCTAGACTAAGAAATATTAAGATATCATCTCAATTTGTTGTTCTTGATCTAAACTTTAAACAACTGATCTCAGATTAGCCTCTTAAGATAGATTTTTTGAATTAACGAGAGAAAGAGGGGAATGCCCACTTGAGTGAGACGTGGAATACTAACTTTTTTGAATTAATGAGAGAAAGTATTGATGGAATTTTCAATTCCATAGGTTCAGAATGGCTCTTTTATTTTTTATTTTTTATTATTTTGGTACCAAAGAATCAACCCACCCGCTAGCAGAATGTCTATGTTAATTAAAAATGAATCCTATATCTTTTGACACTTCCAGAATACTCAAAACACATGTGCACTTGACTTTCTTAGTCTGAATATTCAAAGATGAAGTGATTAATAACATTATTCTTCTAAAATACTTATTATGCATACTATAGAACAGCTTGTTAACCCTCCTCTTCAGTTTTGAGCAGTTTGTTTTTCTTTCTCGAATGATGCAGCAAGCACAACTCCTCCAAGCCAAGGACCTTAGTTTCTCTCTAATTTTAATAGTTTAGAGTATAAACATAGAATCATGTGCAAATAGTGTATTAGTTAATTGAACCAATCCCAGCCCGTACTAAGATATTAATACATGTCTGAAATATAGGCCCGCTATAGTTAGTGATACCATCTTTTGTTATATTGGTTATATAGTCCAAAAGAAGCCCGATGACTCCAAATCCAAGCCTAACTATATCCTAACAGTCAACTAGATGTATTAGTAGGAAATTAGTAATGAAGCCTTTTAGAATGCTTTACTTCTAATTTTTGAAGATCAAGTACATCTATTACAGTATTACTAGGGATTAGCAATGTCCCGGTCCAACTTATCTTGTGATTGTAATAACCATATACATTTAAGAGTGGAAAAATCCTTGGATTTTGGTATAACTTGTTCGCTGCATCATATTAAATGATTTATTCATCCTTGCAATCAAGTGTAACCCTTGAAGGATCGATAATGATATATTCTCTGTTTAGGTGTCAATTAATTCTAACCTCCCCATATTCATGATTCTCAAGTTATCCTCTCAATCATTGCTGGAAATCTAGTTGATATCAGTCTTTTTTAAGCAGATAGGTGCTTTTTTCACTGCATTGCTTTGATCACAGATCAGCACGTTCTAAGTACCACAATGGCATCAAATGTTCATTTTGTAATCTCTCTCCTCCATTCCAATCCGATTAGGATGTCTACTATTATATCACATCTATCCTACTTTTGGATCCCAAATAGTTAAGACAACAAGACATTTCTACTTTTAGATTTTATTTTTTCCTTGTTGTATACTATTTAAAAACTGCATAAGGAAGAGATAGATAGCCCACATTTATACAACTCTAATTTTATCTATTATATATTTCCTTAAAATCCAAAAATCTTTTATTTGTGGGGATGATGCGATCACCCCTCAATTCGTTGTGCCGTCATTGCACTAGAATAATTTTGATTGCAATCCGTAACTCTTGTTATTTATTTATTTTTATTTTTTTAACCTTGGCAAGAAACACACTCACGCACCGCTTGTTACTATGCTAACTTGACCCCTCAACCTTCTACTTTGGGAGGTGAAGAAGTACCACTGGACCACAGTCTTTGGTCATAACTCTTGTTATTGGAGTACAACTATTTTGGGGTTATTTGTGAACCAAAAAGGTAAGTTATTCCTCATCATACAACCAAATTACCAATAAGGCAACCGTATCACCCATCAATTCTAATACATAACTCTTGCTCGTTACAGTCATGTTCAGTATTTGTTGATTACTTAACTTGTATTTGTATATAGATATATACAGTCTACTCCAAACATTTGGAACCATGATATATTTATTGTAGGATTCCCATCAAGTTTAGACCATGTATCACTCAAAGCACTAAGTATTGTTTCTACAATTTTAAGAGGATCAGGACATTAAATTTTAAAATTTTTGGAGCATTTATTTATGCATTAGCTAATATAAAGAATTTTTGTTTTAAGTCATTTCAATTTCATATTGAGCAAGATATGAAGAGCACACAATGAGATTTCTTTGCTTAAAATTACGACCTTATATTCACAGCTAAAAAGAATTTTATTAAATTTTGGCCAAATTTTTTTACTTATGTGAATTCTAAAATCATAGTACAGCACATTACGAATTCCTAGTACACCAACCGCGCAGAGATATAGATTAAAAATGCTTAATTCAAATCCTTCATGCTAATTCTCGTTAGAAAAATCTAAAAGCAACCCAGAAAATCCTTGCATCAAACCCCAAATCCAAATTTATATATCTCTCAAGTGGCAATTCTGTTTTTTTTAAACAACAAACTATCCTCTTGAGATCAAATAGAAGTCATTAAATCGAGATAAGATCTGATACATGTTGTCATAAAAGTAAAGGACAATCTCGTGGTCTGATCTAATCTTTCAATCCATAAAACAAGATTCTTCGTGCTTCTTGTGTGTTTCGATTAAGATTTAATTTTACAACATTTAATTCAATTAATTCTACAACATTCAATTCAAAGATCTCAAAATTAATAACAGACGAAAAATTGATGTATCTTAGCCCTTCGATCAAAGAAAAAAGATATCCAAAACAACAAAGAAAGATTGAAAACCTGAAGAACGTATATAACTCACCTTGGTTTATGAGATCAAATAATTGTTTCACTCCGATCGAAACGAAACACGTACCTCCATATTCCGAGATGGAATATATAGAACATGTGGTGTGTGTGTAAATATATAGTAGTAATTTTCAGAAGAAAGATTATATATATAATACGAGTGTGTGTATAAATATATATATATCTATGTGTGTGTATGAAATGATGCGCGTTCGAGACGCCACAAATGAGAAGATGTTAACAGTTAACCAGGCGAGAGGATAGTGGGGGGATTGAAGGAAGGACCAAAAATCGTGAATGGCGGACGGACGTCACGAGGTCATGTATGTACTGGAGTTACAGAAAGCAATAAAGGCATTAGTCATCCACCTACTTTTTTACCGAGCAGGACACTGAATTTACTGATTGCGCGTCAGACGTTAACTGACGGTAATGTTATTGTCTATAAGTCGACACATGACAACTAACGTGGGCTTTGGAATTTACCAAAAACGAATCTCCCTGAAATCTTCTTCTGTAACTAAGTAAGAAGTTTGTCTATATTCAACAATTTCTAAGTTGCTAATGAAAAATAGATTCCATTGGCAGTTGTGAAGCCTAAATCTCATTAGATCGAATAGGAAATGGTTATCCAAATGAATCAATTTTTTCTTTTTCTTTTTCTTTTTTTTAGTTATGTACCCACAATGGTTAATGTTACGGGGTCAAATCACACCACAAATTTTTGTCCCTGTAATGATACTTGGGGCCATCAAGTCTCAGCCAACACACAACACTGAAATATAAAGAAGGCACACGCAATTTACAGGGACAAGCCCCAATCTTTGTTCATATTAAACATATTACAAATGATACCAAACTCGTACAAAGAACCAAGGCTAACAACACACTGTGTTTTTCCTCTCTGCCTAAACCATGCCCCTTGCATCCCCAATATATAGGCCCTTAACAAAACTGCCCATAATTGGTTGTATGTATCTGTGCATATAGATACACACAGGATAAGGTTGACATCCCAACCATTTAGCCAACTGGCCCAATCAATCTCGCCCAACTCAACATAGCAGTTTCCTCCCTCAACTGCTTATCTATGTCTGACACACTCAGTTGGACAACCCCCAACTGCTAGGAATTGCCCAACAACTGTCATAAGCAATACAACATATATGCATAACCTATCACAACCGAATATAAGCCACAAGACACATATATAAAAGAACTGAACATAAGCCACACAGCATATCTCAACTGTTCCCCCATGTCTACTCTTGATTGGATCCTCCCTTGATAAGCACACCTACTACCCACCAAGTGATATGTGGGTGCCATGGCCTTAGCCATGCTCCACGAGCCACATCTAGTCAAAGCCCACAAGTCTGAACCCACATATAAATGTCTCCGAGTGCACGGCGTGCCAAGCCATGCACACCCGTGTGCACGCCCGAGTGCATACCTAGGTGCATGCCCATAAGCGCGCTGCTGCACACTGGCGCGCATGTTGGTGCTCATCTACGCGCGCCGTACTTGAATCCCCGTGCGCGTGCGCCTGCACGCCCTCTTGGACGCCCTCGCGCTTGCCGCTGCACATCCGAGCTCACATTGTGTAATACCCCTAATTTTAAAAAGGATATCCCGGGGATTTTAATTTAGTAGTTAATTGCATTTTATTTGATTATGTGTGATTAGTTGAATTAATTTGATTATTTAATTGTTCAAGTGTTTTAATTAGTAAATTGATTTAATTGTTTTAATTTATTTGCGTTAATTGTTTTGATTTAATATATTTAATTCTAGTTAATTATTTAAGTGGTAGTAAATTGATTTAATTGTTTTAATTTATTTGAGTTAATTGTTTTGATTTTATTTATTTAATTATAGTTAATTATTTAAGTGGTAAATTTATTTGTTTTGTTTAATTTGGTTTTCACAGGACTGTATGGGACACATATAGTTATATTAGGGTTTCAGTTATAGCCGGCAATGTATATATCATAGGTCGGTTTATGGGCCAAGGAGGGCTCTGTCTCTATTAAACAAGGATTAGGGTTTGGGATTTGTACGCCTATATATATACATGCTTCTTGGTGTTAAGGATTGGAAAAAAAGACTCTACTCGCGTAACATAAAAGCAGAGAGATACAGAGTGAGGTTTTGAGAGAACAGCTTTTGTTTGGTGTGGGATTCGACGGGGATTTCAGGGTTGGACCTAGGAGAAGGGAAGGGCAGAGGTATTAGGAGGCTAGACAGTGTTGCAGTGGTTACCGGAAGTTGGGAAGACGGCGACAAGTTTTGAGTCCAAAACTTCAGGCAAGTTCTTTTCTTCCTCCTTCCCGTTGGCCTGTGTTCTGTGCACCTAGATATACTCTAGGGTTCTAATGGATCAATAATTGAATTAAGCATGTTTTTATATGTCAATTTAACCTTATCTTTGCCTTGAATAAATTCGGTGATGGTTTTTTAAAGTTCATTACAGTAGTTGTTTTCCTAAGCATGATTTGTCTGTGGAACTTGTAGTTTTTGTTTTTGATTTCAACTGTTGTAAACACTCCATGGGGATTATACTGGACATAGTTAGGACCCTTGGGAACAGTCTAAAACTAAATAAAACGGATGGGAAGCGGCCGACGTTGAAGAAGAAGGTCACAGAAGTCACAGACGGACAGACGGCTCTCAGAGAGGGAGAGAGCCGGCTCCATGGAGGAGGGAGCCGGCTCCCCCCTAGTGTAGAGCCGGCTCTAGGAGGTGTAGAGCCGGTTCTACCCAAGTAGAGCAGGCTCCAATAAAAATTGGAGCCGGCTCCACCTTTGTTCATAACCTGTTCTTGCTCAGTTTGTTTCCGGAAAGTGTTTAATGCACTGTTTGAAGCTGTTGTGTGTTTGAACTTAAAAAAAAAATATTGGGACTTGCCATAGTGATTAAGAAGTTAATTTTGGGTCTAAATAGAACTTTTAATTGATTAAAGTTAACCTCTAAATTAACGGAACAAACTGTATAAAATTTATGCACATTGTACACGATTAAGGAATGGAAGAAGACTTAATTGCTCAAGCTTATTTTTGAGCATTCCAGTGGGATCTAATATGTTTATAAATTGTTCTAAATACATTATAGGGTCATTGATGTATTGAAGTTGACCTATGCATGCTTTGGAGGCTAATTGTTGAAATAGTAAATACTTTCTGCAATGATATGGATTATCGTTTGGATTTTTAATTGCTAGAACATCAAATATCTTCCTGCAATTATTTGGATAATGTTTTGGAATGTAATTCACTAAATTATGATTTCTATATTGTAATTGGCATTGATATGGAGGATTATATGCACCGGTATGGGACGGTGGCATACTAGGGATGGTTTAGCTTCAAAACGCTAAGACCTAACCTAATGGATTAATGGAATGGATTGTAAGATATCGAATCCTAATTGTGACTAAGTCAGATCAGCTGTAACTAAGTTGGATGACTTCCTGGATTAACGGATGGTAGTTAAGTCATATCCACTGAATAAGTTGAGTGACTAACTAGTTGGTTTATTATAGGTCAGTTTAATAAATAGTTAAACTGCTTACCCTGGATTTGGATGGACTTTATATATATGTTTATGGTACCACGAGTTGAGCTTGAGTCTCAGACTCGTTGGTTAGGGTGCGTATATGCAGTGGATGCGTAGCTGGTTATAATAGGTTGAGGTGTACCCTGTTAGGTCTAGGTACTCATGCCCACCTTTGGGTGCGTATTCGCATGTTGCCTTCTATTCAGGTTAAGACCCCTATTATAGACTAGTGAATGTCCCTTAGTGTGGATATATTTATACGTATGGATTAGATAGATATTGTGAGATGTCTACGGTGTATCTGCGTATCGGGTCACTGTATGGATTGCAGTTAGATTAGAACTTGCTCGTGGGTCTGACCCACTTCTTTATTATTCTTTTCAGGTACAGGACGGTTCCAGCCTTAGAGCTTGATCGTGCTTGTCGAGGACAGTCTCACTTTCACTGGATTACGTAGGACTTCCCCCGATGTTTTTAGTATTATCTATTTTCAGTTTCAGTCTCAGTTGAATTTTTAGTTAGCGGTCCATCAGTGGATTCCCAAGTTGTAACTTTGAAGTTTTGAAGGATTGGAGTTTAAAATTTTTAGTTACACATGGAGGATTTTATTATTATTATTTCTTGCAGTTTTATTCTATCTTTATGGTTCTTTTTGTCATCTGTGTTCAATTTAAAATACTTTAATTGTTTGATATTCCCTCGGGTTTGGGCCTGGGCCTGATCAACCCGTGTCTCGGATCCGAGGGGTATCACACATTGGGCTGGACGCCTGCCCATGCTCCCGCCTGTACGCCCGCGCGCGCGCCGCTGCACACTTATTTGCCCTTCGGTAGTTTGGATATTTCCCTCTTGTGCAACCATCTAGGAGTGGTGCAACACGTGCCCATGCACGTTGGCTAAGCCCTCTAAGCAAGCCATACCATAATCTAATTGATGTGCTCAATAGACCCTTCCTTAGTATAGTTTTAAGGAATATCAACCTCTAACATGAGTAGATATCACCTATGTTTGAGGAGTCATAATGGCCTTTTAGGCCCTTCCCGACATCCAAATCGAGTGCCGTATATGCCAATCATCTTCTATGGACTCAAGGTACCTCCCATAAAGATCCCGAGCCAAAACTTCAAATTTCACTTTTCGCCATATTTACAAAAATGCCACTGGGCACCTCCAGTTAATGCTGAGCATCCTGTGCACGCTGACAGCCCACTAAGCATCCTCGTGGTTATCTAACCAGAGCCAAGGTATTCCCAAGACATGGCATGGCCCTGAATGCCTATGTCTTCCCATAGACAAATGTCAAGGGGATAACAGTTAACCAAATGAATCAATTTTTTCTTTTTCTTTTTTCTAGTTATGTACTCGTCCTAGGGTAGGTTTCTTCTTCTTTTTCTTTTTTTCTAGTTATGCACCCACATGGTTAACCAACTGAATCAATTTTTTCTTTTTCTTTTTCTTTTTTCTAGTTATGCACCCGCTCATAAATGTCTATCGTGAAATTGGAACCCTCACCCTAGGGTAGGTTTTTTTTTTTTTTTTTTTTTTTTTTTTTTTTTTTTTTTTTTCTAGTTATGCACCTACAATGGTTAACCAAATGAATTAATTTTTTTTTTTTTTTTTTCTTCTAGTTATGTACCCACTCATAAATGTCTATCGTGAAATTGGAACCCTCACCCTATCCTAAGGGAAGATTCCCAAAATTTTAAGAAGCCTAGACGAATTTTCAAATACGAGACCTTTTATAAGGTTTCACACTCGCAAAAATAATTCTAAGATCGCAAA